GCTCGTTTGATGTGCTGATCTTCCTGACGACACGGCCACCTATCGGTGTTCACCGGATAATGCTCATCGACTCATAAATCTATCATCTGTTCACTTGGCAGTTAAGTCGTGGATCGCCGTCGGTCGAAAATGCCCAGACAGAGAGCTTGCACGGTAGCCCACCTCGGTCGCATCGTGTAGCGGGAAAGAGCGGAGGGAGGCTCGAATTATTAACGAGTCCGTTCGGGTGGCGCACTCCCTAAACCCTAAACAACCTGCCCAGCCATTGCCTTGTCGCTTCCTCGCCATATTGAAAATTTAATCAGCTATAAATATTCAGCGGGCCGATTAGCCGCCATGGAATGGCGTCAAAACCCGTGGCGGACATCAGCGACTGTGAGAACGAAACGGAGGACACCATCCAAGTCCTGCGGGAAGCGTAAACGGGCTGGCGATCCTGATCTGATAGTGGTACTAGAAGGGAGTCTCGGTTGAGCAAATCGGTTTCAGATCCCATATCAGCGTGATTTTCGAGAAGCCCGGGTCATTAAAAGGTGCTACATAGGATGAGACAACGAGAAGCGACTCTGGAGCAGTGCTCCCTCCCTAGGCCTCCATGCTTCCAATCGTTCGACTATCGTGCATTCTTCCATGTTTCACTCCGAGCTCACGAATGCCTATGGAGACAATATCCGTCAGAAGCTCCGCCGATTCCTGAGAACAATTTCCTGAAGATACAAGGAATTGCATCCCGTAATCGACAGTACCAGCCTGTAATCCCTTCCTCTCGATGAACACGGATGAGCCGGCCGGCGCCTTTGCAATTCGGGGTCGCGCAGTTTGTCGAAATGAATTGTTGGAAGGCTTCTTCGCACATATAGAATCCCTCAGAATCCCAACTGGCATAATTCCGCGAGCACTTGGGAACCTTCCTGGCTCGTCAAATTTCTGGACCGATGATCATTCCGAGTCGTATGGGTGTATCGGAATTTCAAGCTGACCGACGAAGCACAGACCATAAAATCATCTTTATCTAGGACCACCCAGAGCTCCCCTCCACCCATGTGAGCTGCTCTCCGACCGATCAATCGGTCGCACATGAATGAGGAGAATGAATCCTCGCTTCGATCGGAGCTCCGTTCCCCAGGCACGATGATACGTCGCGACGCCTTCGAACCCAGAGCTCGGCGGCGCGACCGGCGGCTGGGCGAGGAGCGTGCCTGAGTAGCTACGTGGGACTCAGACCAAGGGAGACCGCGATATTCGATGATTGGATGACATTCGGAACGGGAAGATGTCCGCAATGATCGCCGGCACAATGCCGTAGCTAGGAGCAGCGACGTTTCGAGGGAGCCGCCGGAAGAACGGATGCGCGGAAAATTCCCCTGACGCAGTCCAACTGATGGTGTGTGCGATGAGACCAGCATAGGTTGGCACATGGGGCTCCGATCGAAGCTCTCTTTTCGTATTCACGAGTCCCGCAGACTCCCCTCGAGTCAGTTGTCTTCCGCGGAAATGCCTCCGGAGGCGAGGAGATGCGCCGCTCCGCCTCATTCTGATCAATGAAATCATTTGCTCGGATTCATCAAGGGAGAGTTAATCTCGAGTCCCACATGAGAAATCGGGGCTAACTCCACCGGGATTTCCTAAATCCTAGAGATCTGGAGCAAGTTGTCGAAGATCTGAGTCTCACGGACGGCATTCCGGAACGCGGTCCCCAATATCTCAAGGACCCTATCCTAGAGCAGCGGTAACCCAGTGATTGCCCGCCAGCTCCCTCTTCGCGGTCCGGAGCTGAACCTGGAGAGTTCAGAATCCAGGTTGAATGGGTTCTGGCCTGCGAGCGGCTTCTTGAGCATTGTTTGCTCGTAACTCTCCGATTCTCACCCTCTCGACCCGAAAGATCTTTGAAAACCGTCCGGAAGCGAGCTTGTAGCTTTTCTAGATAATCGCGAGCGTGAGAGAGAAAGAGCGTTCTCCTTGACGAACCGTTCAGATTATGAGTTTCTCCCGAGGTTATCACATCAACTGTAGGCAGCCTCGCATGCTGCAGGGGACTTCTTCGGAGCCGCGGCTCACGGCGGAGAACCCGTGAACCCGACGTGATCGATTGACCTCTGCGACCCGCAAACGAGCAGCGCTGAACACCGCTGTTCCCCAGCCTGGGAATGTATCGTTATCCGAGGACGCTTTATTAATTAAGAATTCTGTTGAATCCTAAGATGGGACTCTCGACTTCCTACTACCAGTCACTAGATCGAGCTTCCGGCAGGGAACTATCCGGGTCCCTCACCAACCGATAGGCATCGGTGTCCTCCGGCGGATATTTCGAGCGAGAATTCAAATGCCCAGAAGACGGCGACTCAAAGTTCCGATTCCCTCGTGGAAACCCAGCTAACGGAATGCGTCCGGGTTTGGGAGCGTATCTCCATTCGAATTCGGCCTGCTCCCACGAGTCCCCAGCAGCTGAAATAAAGATTGTAGCAGAATAATCCGGCGATCCCAGTCGCAGGCTCGATGGTTCCGAAGATGGTCCTCGTCAGAGCCCTTATTCAACCTACATTCTGAATCTACTGCTTCGTAGTGATCGAGGACTCGGTGGATGGCATCCTGGACCTCCGCATCCTCGTCGTAATGGCTCTCGTGATCCTCATTCTCGTCGCGGTTCGTTGCGTGGAAGCCATCGAGAGCGCCGAAATCATCTTTCCCTTCTTCGAATTCGTGTCGATGTGCGTGATATCCAATAGTGTTGTCGCTGTCGCGAGAGAGCCCGTAATCGTGTCCGACGGCGACCTCGTCGTCGAAGGAACCCCGCGCATCGTCGTAGTAGCTGTCTCCGTCGTCGTAGTGCTCATCGTAGTCGTCGGGTTGCTCACACTTCCCGTGGGAACAGGTCCTTGTGCCGAAATCCGTGTATTCCCGGTCGTGATGATCGTGCTCCTCGACGCCTCCATCAGAGTCCATCTCCTGTCCGTCTGGCTGACGGTAGCCAACCGGTTCCTCATGGCGGAGGTCATCACCCTCTACTACCTCATTGTCATGCTTGTGCGCAGAATGCCCGTCATGGCCGTGCGGGTCATCTACGACTTCATCAAAGTCATCGTCACCCTCGTCGTGGTTCCAGAGGTCGAATTCGTTCTCTGCGCGAGGATTTTGGGAACGTTCTGCTTCCACTCCATTGTCCGACTGACTGATGAATCTCTCCCCAATTCCTCCAGATTTAACTTTCCAAGATTCTCCGTCGGATCCTGGGAGAGGAATTCTAAGAATACAAGGGACCGACTTTACCGGCAGGATTCATTGATGGCTCCTCAGGAGTTGGGTTTGCTTACCCTCAAAAGCGTCCTCAGCCGTCTCAGCGTAATCAGATTCTTGACCTTCGACGTCTCCTGTGGGCTTGACTTCAGCATCGAATCCATGACGGTGATCCGGCTCTTCTCTGATAGAATGGTCATGAATCATAACCGGAGGCAAACCCGCTCGCTCATTGTGACCGACGGGGGCATCTCTGGGCGGATCCTCCCATCCATGGGAGAACGAATCATCTTCTAGAGTGTACGTTAGCGGTACAAGGACCGCCAGCACCAGTAACCTGAGTCTCCGCTCTCTGAAGAGCGACATGACCGCTCAATGGCACCTCCTCGGAGCTCGGGATCTGCTAGCTCTGCGGGAAACGAAGTGAGAAAAAAACAAGAGTTCGTCTCTTTATGGATGTCTTTTTTTCCCTCCGAAGAGCGAGGAGCCCTTCCAGATTTCGTCAACCTGAGACCTGAGCTTCCCTTTGCGCAAGGCTGAAGCATCCGATTTTGCATCAGTCTTCGGGAATCAACGGGGGAAACGAGCTGAGGAGACCGCGGACTTGAGGTTGGTGGATATCTACGTAACGACTGGGATGCAGCCGGATTGACGACGCCACGACCGACGTCGCTGTCGCTTGGGGCTGCTCGGGGAAATTCCCTCGAGCTCCCAACAGAGGGCACTGACACAAATAACGATGACAATTTTGGATATAGGTATTCCCGCAAACGTGAGCCGCCTCGCACCGGATCATCGCCCATTCCGATATCGGCGATTTTTTTCGACTATTCACTCTACTCCGGTTTTTCTCACTCCATTTCTGATAGACGTATGCTGGAGATACCAGGGGGTGGAGTTCATTTGACTAAACCGATGTCGATATCCGTAAGGATGAGAGTGAATATATTGTCGAGCAAAGGACATGACGAGAACCGAAAAAGAAGGAAGAATAATGCAATGGCTCGCCCCGCTCAGACTCCTTCTCTGTCCGTGTCCGACCAGACTACGGGCCCCTCTCCCCAATATGGCCGCCACTGGGAGAACGAGAGGAGCACCATCATCAGGAGAAGTCGTCGGCACCAACCCCAGGTAGTCTCCGGAGTGAAGGCAAGCGTTATGACAGGGAGAACCCCGGCTCGAATCGAAGTCGCGCATCGGTAGACCAGCATTGGGCTCGATCGGCTTGAATTGCTTTTGGATTCAGCGTGAACACGCGATGCTTTCCCATAGAATGCATTCGCGCATGCCTAATGACGGTGAGTACTCCTCCTCCGATGTACTTCGGAGAATATCTGTCATCAGCTGTGCAGTTGCTAACGACCGCCTGATGTGACTTGAGTGGATGTGAGTGCGAGTGCGTGAGTAAGCGTGGGTTGTCAACTCATGGAACAATTGCGCATAAAATTCTCACGTCGAAGACCTGACGCTGGGAATGCGTGGAAATTCATATGACAGCTCGCCGAGATCCTGCGCCATGAGAATATGAGCAGAATCTTCTCCGACTCAATCCTTGTTCGCGGAGATCTGCTGTCATCTGAGCAGACTTTGGCGTATCCTGCGCAAGCCTCGTTTACTCGGGAGCTGGGGATGGCGTCCGACACATGCTCCCGAGCGGGCTTTATACAGTACAGGGCTCACCTTTCCCCATGCGTCAATGGATGTGAGCACCGTCTAGTTGTATATGAATGAAAAGAGACCTCCCATGAGAGATCGTGCCAACATAAGAAGTACTGAGGTTTTTTCCGGACTGAGTTTTCAACCGGGCCAGGCAGATGGGCGGTCGCAATCGTGTTCGCGTCACAAGAATCAGCAATCGTCGTGACATACAGCTTATCTGAGGCGAACTTGAATTGATTCAGAAACGAACTTCTTGAATGCTCATCATTGCAGCTGGTTACATTCCGATGGACGCAACGGTGGCGATTTTCGGGGAGCCTCAGCCAGAAATAATCTCGCTGCAAGACGCCCTCCAAGGCGGGGTAACAGATCTCGAGAAGCTGCCCATCGCGCCAGGTGACTGAGTTCGCATGTTACGCTTATCTGAAGATCACGTCGCTCTTCGATTGTGAGCTCGAATCTTGGTGAAGCTTTCTATGAAGAATACTCACTCGTCGGCTTTGACCGCGATTCTGCTTCAGCCGAAGGCACCGGGATAGTCGAGTTCGACGACATCGGTCATATCAACCAGAATGAACAATATGACATGTTCGGAGGAGAGCGTAAGTAGTAACATATCAATTTTTCGGTCACGATCGCGCGTTCGATTCTTTCGAGCAGATTATCGACAGGCACTTTCTAGCACGATTCTCTTCTTTTTACAGTTGATCTGGAAGATCTGATCGACACGGTCACGTTGCTCCAATGCAGATTCTGTCAGTACAGCTGCGCCAAGAAGAATCTTCTCATGACACACATCAAAACATATCACCGCGAGGAAGTCCGGGATCTAGTCAAACAAGGTAGACTCAGCGGATTCTCAATCTCACCGTCAGAAACGAGGAGAATTGTCAAATCGAACTCAGAAGCGGAAACACGGCCTGCAGTGAGTAGGAAGACCCGCGGATTAGCAGATTATCCTGAATTGTTCTTCTGAACCGTCTACAGTGATTCCTCCTTACAACGAACTTCGCGGGACCAGCAAAATCTTTTCGTTGTAGCGAGAATTTTCGTTGAGGGAAGCTCCCCAACCTGATGTATAAGGCAAGCCAGCCAACGTACGGGAAAGGGAGTGTTCGTTAAACTGGGAATTCGAAATTTTCGTTGTGAGGAAATTTCGCCGTATTGGTTCCCACGTGGTTGATCTCCATTCGGGGATTATCGTTCTCGGTGATACGTTTTTACGAAGGCGACTGCGGTCTAATACAGAATACTGGTCTCAGATAATCGCTCCGAATGACGCCGTCGAAGACGAGAATATATTGGGTATAAGCACAGGGAAGGAGGAGCTTCAAAAGGAAGCTCAACGGCTCGAACAGGACGAGATGCCCCAAGTTGACATCGGGGAAACGACAATTTACCTGTGCTCGTTCTGCAATTGTACGTTCGAGCAGTTCGCCGAGTGTGAGAACCACATGAAGATTGTGAGTAAACTCTTGGATCGTTGTATCCTTCCCCATCATGTTAATCTTCCGAATCCCGATTCGGGATCCCATACGGATATCCTTCTGCTGTCTGAATAGAATGAGAATCTTATGCTTTCAGGAACATTATCAATGTGCTGCGGAAACGAAAAAAGTAACGAGTGAAGAGGACTCCGGCTCATTCTCCCCCCCCGTAGACCACGTCGATCCTGAGCTCGCTCAATCAGCCTCTGTATATACTAGTCACGACCCACGAGACCCTCACGAGATACAGGCAGAAATTTTCCAACAAGAGGTGGGAATCTTATTAGTGCATAATGTCTTGGATTCATTTGGGCAAACCAACATAGAGGATCCGAATCATGCGATTTCGAATGCTTTTCCAGCTCCCTCGGCGCTTCGAAGCTCCCGACAATCGGAGCTTCAGATGTCCGCAGAGGTTCTGTCCGCAAAAATTCCGAAGCGAAGAAGCCTTGAATTATCATAAACGGAGTCATCTACTCCGCATAATTTTGAGCGACCAGGAGAAAGATCAAGAAGAAGAATCACTCCGGAGTAACGACAAAGGTACGATACGATTCCCCTTCGATAACTCGGGGATCCCGAATCTCCCCCTCCCGGAACAGGCTCCTGTATAAAGTCGCTTGTCGATCGGCATTTCGATTGGGAGGGTACAAGCGACAAGGGGATCTGATGCATTATTCTCCCCGAGAGTGAACTCAACTAATACCTTACAGCCTGCAACACAGAATTCCCATCAGGGATCAATCAGCTGTACAAGTGCCCAGAATGCGGGGTGCGGATTTTTTCGTGGAGAAATACTGTCTCGCATCTGTGGAGGAAGCATCAAGTGGATTGTGATCAATATTCCTGCAAAGTGTGTGAATACAAAACACCATCATATTACAAATTGCTCACTCACAACGTAAGTAAATTCCCCCAGCATCCGGAGTTTGTGGCCTGTGATGCGTAATCGATGGATCAGAATATAGGGATTTCGAGGGACCTTTCTATTCGTTCCGCAGCAAATCCACTCAGATAGACGGAACTATGTTTGCGTGACCTGCGGGAAGGATTATAAACAATTAGCTCAACTCAGGAACCACATGATTGTGCACAAGGACAAGAAGGCTGGTGAAATCAAGAATTCATGGTAATGTCTCCCGCCGATGTTTGAGCTAATTCCAGCTCAAGATTAGCGATGTGATCACAAGTACGTCTTGGGGATGACATGAGCGTGACTTCTGTCTTGCAGGTACTCGCCGAAAGTTTGTGACTTCTGTCAGCGAACTTTCTCGAGCGGCCGCTGTCTCAAGAAACACATCGAGACAGTTCACATGAAAATGAAAAATTTCGCGTGTGAAACCTGCGGCCATCAAGCCGCCCGTAAATCGATGCTCATGATCCACATGCGGCTTCACACAGGTGAGTGAAATCGATGAACAATTGCGGATCTCGCAAAAAATTCCCCTCGAGCGGATCAATGCATTGGAGGGCTCATCCACCTCATCCCTTTCTCGCAGGTGAGAAACCTTACGTTTGCGATTACGAAGGCTGCGGCTATCGAACCTGTGATCACAATTCGTTGAGACGGCACAAAATGCAGCATTCCGGGGAGAAGCCATATAAGTGTCCACACTGCCCTTATGCTTGTATACAAAGCATTTCATACAAACGTCATATTCGCACAAAACATCCAGAGGTCGAGAGATCGAATGTTTTCGAATGTCACAGATGCAGTTTCAGAACGGTGAGTCGAGCCTCCTTCCCCTGCTGTACTCCGAGCTCCGATTCAACTGAAGTAGCCGACGCTGAGGAAGCCAATGGACATGTCCGATCGACTAGTTCTCAAATGCATTCATCTCCCTCCCATAGATCAATGAAGATAAGATGGCGGGGCACATCGCCGTCCACGAAGACCAGGATAGACTTGATCGAGGGGAACAAATGCCGGGCCTGAACCTCCAGAGAGCCTTACGGAGAAATTCCGATCTGAACTCATCAGCATCATGCACGGTTGCTCAGGGCGATGGCCCTGTCATATCTCGAGAAGCTGATTCGACGTTATTCCGAGAAAACATCACCCCCCTCGGTACATACGTCGTGATACCGTACGGGCAGGATCCATCCAATGACAAGACTCAGCATTCCATTGGAGTGGACGTGTCTGCTCCCGAGCTTGGGTAGGAGTGGTGGAATCCTGAGTTTTCAGTCGACATGTAGAACCAGTGATGAACGGAGCCAGCGCGGGCGTGTCCTGCCGGGACAATCCGGATCCTTCGGCCTCTGATCGTGGTTCGGTGATGGAATCGAGGTCATTCCATCAAGTGAGGTCGACGGTGGATCGGCGACCCACATAGATGGAGATCCTCTCATTCGGTCCGAGGGGTAGTCAGACTGCCGGAAATCCGGGAAATCTCGAAGAAGATCGAGCCCGAAACAATACAGATCCCCTGGACACTGCCAAAGGTCAATGACGAGGCTCCTAGAAATATTTCTAGTCGAATTGGGAGCATTGAAAACGGGTCTCCGAAAGCGAGGAGCTCATGAGACAGTTCCACATCGGAGTCCGCGGGGACGAACATTCCAGTCCAAATTATTGCCGCACTGGAGTTCAAGGTTCCTCTTACGCTGGACTCAAAGGTACGACTCGACAAGAATCCCGCGATCGTCATTGCTCGAGTTATATGAGGGAGGAGAACACTAATATATGACATTCCACTTCTTGAATAAAATCGAAGGGCTGAACGTTGTTGTCAAACCCTTTTCCCGTACATTCTAATAGATTCTCGCGGCCCTTGAAAAAAAACGGATTGAAATCTTGGATCCGAAGGATAGAACCATCGAAAAACCACTCGACGCGCATGAAACATTAGTATACAAGATATTTATCCTCATCAAGGAGTTTGACAATCCCACTGTGTACATAGGCTCTGTGAGCCCGCGTCGTGAGCGGAGTCGCGGGGACGTATGCGAGAGGAATTTCTTCTCTCTCGATCCGATCCGTATGAGTAGAGCCGTCATCGCCTCGAACCGGGATAGCAGATTCTCAGTCTGACGATTCAGACGATGTTCAGAGGATCAGCAACTGGGGCTTCTTGGACGAGTTGCGTCAGAAGATCAGACAGCTTTTTTTTCAGTTGTTTCACCCCGCTCATCACGATGGTCTCCGGCTTCAGAGCTCCCGAAGACTCGACGTTGAAGAAGAACTTCGATGGTTTCCCTTCCGGGTCGTACTCTGCTTGAGCTGGGGATTCAGAAAAAAATTAATGATAAAAGAAAATGTGGGAAGCGGAGGGGGAAAGTCATCGACTGTTTTTTCTCCCGGGATTCAGTCTCGACTAAGCCCGGAACTTACATCTAGTGTCCTCCTCAGCGATCTCGGAGTACTCGCTCCGTGGCCATTCCTCCGGAATCGGATAAGTGGTGTGGCGAAACTTGTTATCGGGATCGTACTCGAAGGCTACACCGCACGTTGGATTCCATTTCGCGTGCTCTTTCCCAAAGCCTTTTCTCGCGTAGCAAATTGCCTTGACTTCTTGGCCTTTGCGAAGCTTGACGATGAGAATGTCCTCCTCCTGACCGTACTCAGCGGTGTCGTCACGCCGCTTCGACGTGACTGGAACACATCTGATGTCAGCACTCTTCAGGTCAGCCGTTGTCACATGGCGGGTGGCATCGTCGGTGCACTTCACGTCGAGAATAAACTCCACGCTGCAGTCGGTACAGAAATCGACGCACGAGCAGTCCCTGTTGTACTGCATGTGCTCGACGATCTCTTCCGACGTCAACGGAATCAGACCCAAGCGATGAGCGATGAATTCGTCATGGAGTACAGAAGAATTCGCCTCCAACTGTACCCAATCTATGGCCATGGTTGGCGTTTCGGCAATCATCACACGTCGAATACTGTTCGCGACACTGCAATCGAAGAGCGACAACCCTTGAATTCCAAATTTTCCGTGGATCTAAAATTCGAGACTCCGAAGCTCTTCCATTGCGGGACGAGGCGAGCTATGCCCAGCCTGGGTGCTCTGGTGCGTGCCCGCATGGAGCTATACGAACATGATATCATTGACGTCTGTAGTTACTCGAAACCTATTCAGGTAGAATGGTGTGCTCACCTGAGATCGGTGTCTTCCAATACAAACTTGACATTTTCGTTCGAGAGATCAGTGATCGTCACTCGGGGTTGGTTGGCGTACGGCATAATTAACTCTGCTCTCGAGGTCCTCCGATGTCAATGGCTCCGATCAACACTACTGCGAAGAAAGAGGGCCAACACCACTCCGCTGATCCGGTGACAAACTCGGTGATCTTCCTTAGCCGGCTTCGACGATCCGCGACCATCAACAAAGATTTCTGCTCTCTCTTGGCGCGGCGCGAGGAGCTGTGTAAACACGACTTCGAAACCACTCGACTCGAATCGGCGGATCCCGGGAAGGGAAAACTTCAGAGGGTTTCGGACTTCGTACAAAGTGCTTGGCGAGCTCACCGAAGAGAAGGGGAAATGTAGGAGGAGCGAAGCGACATTCGAAACTCTCGAAAAGACGTCACGACTGGAAACTGCTCCCTATCCGACTACTCGTACTCTCGCATACCGCGCGGCATCCCGGGCCGAGTTCGCGCGCGACTTGACGAGCATTCACAGTGCGCGATGGACCTTGGATGTCTCCGTCACTCATTAGGAGTCCTTCGGGGAATTCGTCCCGGTGCCGCCCTTCTTCTTTTTCGAGTGGATTAAAGGGAGGTATCCTTGCTGTGGCCGATATGTGAGCGGAACCCGCCTGGCCCACACGTAATACCAAGATGATCCGAAGGAGCATATTCTGATAGACAAGACGCATTTGGCGACTGTGCTGCATGGGTCACCGTGGATGCCGAGCTGGCATTGGATTCGGATCAACGACGATTTTCAATCGCAGCCATCTGATGAAATCCTTGTATCTTGGGATAAGACACTCATCGAGTGCTGGATCGCACCCCGTCGGGATGTTCGTCCCCTGACACTGACTGAACTTCCACCACGGCAGATTCAGGGAGACGGAAGTTCCGCCGCCATACAAGGAAGTCGATCCAAAAGACAAGGACGGAGTGCTCGATCACAATTTGATGGCAGCGGAGAGAATCGACGTGAGTCACGCCGGAGCCCGGGTCTCGTAGGGAGGGGAGGGCCAGGAGAATGGGAATAACCTAGTTCTCAAACTATACACTTGATCTCTATCAAGTTTCGAAGAGAGGAGGAGTCTCCCGGAGCTGAAAGCAGATGAAAGATCTCGGGAGAACCCCCTCGGCCACCGGAGCTTCCCACAAAAAATTGGAGGATGTTCCAAGTAGGACTGCTCATCGGCGAGCTGACGTTCATGAGTGATTCGGGGACAGTCCAACCCCTCTCATATTAAAAATCGGAGTCTAATTAAAAATGCTGTGTCTTCTCCTGCCTTCAGATTACTCTCCTCGTTGACGGAGACGTCGACCGTGTAAGTCTGTCCTGTGAAGAAAACTCCAGACCCGCTGTCCGCCACTCTCCTCGTTGGAGAAGGAAAAACGTATCTTGGAGACTCGTGGCATTCCCCGAGTTCTGGAATTTCGCGGGCGGCGAATCCACCCCCGCACTGCGAGTTCTCCGAAAATTTGCCGTGCCGATTAGCTAGAAGAAGAGGAACCTCTATACTCCCCAGGCTGCCATGCTTGCATGAGCCAACTTCGGGCGAGCCAAGATCTAAAGCTCAGCGGACTGAGGCGATTTCTGCGCGAACAAGCTCCAGGAACCCACTCGATAAAGCGATATGGCCACCAAGTACTCGCGCAACAGCGACAGCAGCCTGCTGAGCGACTCTCAGAGGGAACTTCCGGTATTCTTCTACGCTGAAAGTCGGGCAGGTCCCGACCGTCGGAGCCTTCTCGCGCGCGAAGTCGCATCGCGGTAGAAATCAGCGCGGCGCGATTCCCCTCTCATTGTCAGAGATGAAAATCTGGAAGTTCCTCGTTGCCTCGAACCTCTTCTTGGATGGGTGCAACATGTCTCAGTTACACATAATCAGATCGAGGTGCTAAGCTGATGTCTCTCGGATCCCATGAGGTGAATACTCTCGTATCCTCGAACGTTTCGTTATATTGGAGGTTTGGATACCCGTCACCTTATAGAATGAACGTCCGGGGTTTTTCCGTGGAGAAGATGCTCTCGAACAGTCCCAGACAGGCAGTCTTTGCGCAGAACGCTCACCGCGCCCCTCAAGGTCTCATAGCGAGCTGACCAGTGTAGTCCCGAGGTCGCTAATAGTTCTTCTAGCACCTCCTCCTCTCGGAACTCCGGAAATTCCTTGACGGTTCGAGTCGGCACTCCCTCGCACCCTTGTCTCAAGTCTGTGGTGTGGAGCGGGACGAATGCCGTCTGATGTATGTGAATCGCTCGTCCGCCGTTACCGAGGGGGATGAGAGGATTATCCCCATCGCTGAAGGTCGATGAGCTCATGCACCGCATGGGACCGTTCCCTTGAACAAAACGTGATGCGGAGAATCGCTAGCGACTCTCCAGGAAGTGGCGTGCCTCATTCGATCTCTTGTTTTCGGTGTGAATCCGTTCCAAGCACATCCGAAGCACGTCCTTGCACGACATGCACGACTATCGGTCGATGGACGTGTTTGCATCGCTTGCGCTGATTTGACTGCGAATTGGCACGCTTCCATTGACTTCTGAAGGGGATTACGAGCCATTGGCATAGTGTACTGCGGTCCCGAGAGCACAGAAGATTCCGCACCCCGACCCCAGAGGGTTTCCGCGAATCTCAAATTCTGCTCTCGAAACCCGGGAGTAGAGATCTCTGCTGAGCAAGTGTTTCCTTTCCTCCTCTTCAGATAAGACTATATGGAGAGAATCCCTTGATGATACTACGTAAACGATGAGGTGACTATGAGCCATAAACTTTTTCGAATATATCATACGACTCCAGCTCCCATCCGTCAAAGTGGTCGAAAATCATTGATGGCAGAACTTGAACTCTCATGTCATGTACCATGTCCATTCTTCGCCGATCGTCACGGAACAACAGTCCGAATAGTCAAGTGTATGTTATTTTCAGTCACATTCGATGTTCCACATTGGATGGTCCGACGCGTCATCTACAGCCTCCCGTTCCGGTGCCCGCGCATCCTTACCTCAATGGGATTCCGTTTGCCGTCGAGAGTGTGGACCGCTTCCCACAGAATAAAATCTCGCCTGACAACATCACCATGAAAGTTCTCCAGGAGAGCTCTCGCGATCTCCGCGTTCAGGTCTTCTCTCGCCCCGATAATGTCTTGTTTCCATTCATTCAAGACGTCCATTGGGTGACAGAAGATCCTAGAAAAGTTCACGGGCCGAGCCCGACGATAGAATGCGCCGGACTCTTCAAGAGGTGAGTGTGATGATCAGAAAATGTCCAAACCGCTCGCATGAGAAAACAATGATGACAGAAACGTCTCTGCGACCCCCGTACTTCCAGGTGCTCTTTGTGCATTCAACACGCTCTATGTCGCAGCCTTCCATCCGCATTGCGGCAGAAATACCTACAACACGACCATCCCTACGTGAATCCGCAGTCAGAGCGAGAAGCTCCACTGATCTCGCGAGTCGCGCTCGATCTGATGCAAAGAAACTATGAGGATGCTTTCACGAATATGATCTCCCACGCCAAGGAGAAAACAAATCCCTTCCGAATCGCCACGGGAACGGGGGACTGTCATCGGGATCCAGTCAAACAACGATCGAGTCGGATACTCATAGAAGAAATGGAAAACACTCTGAGCAGTCCCTTCGCGGAATTCGATGAGGTTGAGGTTCATACGTCCCCGAATGGGCTCGGCTCACAGCTGCCGGACTCGCCTGATGCGATGGAAAATCCATCACAAGGCGGGAGTTCCTTCCCGGTGAAAATTCGACGCGGCGCGGAAGCCCCGACGGCGGATTCGCTCATCGAGAGAGATAGCTCAAGAGCGCGACCCTTGCTCGGCGGCGCGACCGGACCCAATCCACACGAGGAACAGATCTCCAATCGTCTCCGGAGAGAGGGGGCTCAAACTCATGTCAGCGATTACAAATCACACCTGTTACAGAAAACGGGAGTCACGACTTCGAGACAAGATCCAGGGGCTTCGAATTTGAAGGCATGCAGAGCTCCGTGGCCTCGTGGCACTTATCCAAGTTCGTTGGGATCAGGAGAGACCTTGACATCAGCAAGGGCAACTGAGAGAAATGACTTCGCTCGACCCGGGTCATGCCGCATCGGAGGCAGCGCATCGGAGCTTACGTCTCAATCGCATCTCAGCGACGCGACGCATCTCTACGTGTCTGCGAAACGCCAATTTTCGAATGCTGCCTCGAATACCGGCGGTGAGCGAGGCCTCACTCGAACGATCAACGCTCCGAGCCCATTCCATTGGAAGACGCCGTACGTTGGCCCCACGGAGAATTTGCCGCCATCGAATCAGGTGCGGCCAATGCAACCGTTCGAAGTTCCTCCGCGCTTCGATCAGCTGAACCCGCGAGTAAACTTCCCCGGTCCCTGCTCGAATACTTTCGGCATCTCAAGCGGCGTCGGGCTCCCACCGAGAATTCCGAATTCCGAGTTCTATAGTGACCCACCAGGAGCGAACCGCATCTCGGCGAGGTGTCCCGTCTGCGGGATCACTTTCCGAACGTTCGGTGTCGTCAAAGGGAAGTTCTCGCGGGTCACACACGTCAATCCTCAGGGCCGTTTAAGAGATCATATGGCGTTACACAGAGCCGACGGTCTCGATTGTGTATTCCCTTCGTGCAGAGGAATCGTTTTCGACCATCGGGATGAGTTGATCGCCCACATGGACGCGCACAGACAAGCACTCATCTTTGCGGGCGTCGAGCGCTGGGAGAACCAGAGTTCATCTTCGGTATCCTTGCCGCGCTTCCTGAGGAAAAAGCCGAATCTGACGTGTGAGATTTGCCTCATCGATTTTAATTGGAGAACGACGCTATCTGGAATGCCGAGCCACACCGAGCGGTACATAAAACATTGTGAACGGCATTTAGTCAAAATGGGCGAGAACGATTATTGCCCATGGCAATGCGCCTTACGCAGCTGTGAGAAAAAATTCACTTCTCAACACGCACTGGAGGAACACATGTGGATGGTTCATGCCGCATCGTGCCACTGCTCGACTTGCGATTGGATCGTTTGGGGCGAGACCGACGAAGTTAATCTCCACCGAACGCATTGCACTTGCACCGCACAATTATTAGCCGATGGTGACTCTAAACCATTTGGCATGAGATTGGCGACTCGGCACGCGGCCACAGCAGCGAGCGCTCCCGGTCAGTCGTGCAACGAATATGCGGAGTCAGCTGCGAAAAATTCTTCCGCGGTTCCCTTCGCACGCATCGCACTTGCCGAAGCCAAGCCGCGGCTGAAGTGGCTGAGGAACAAGACATCGAAGTCTGCTGGTGAGCCTGCATCGTCTAAATTCGATACCGCCTCGTCAGCGAATCATCTGATGCGATTCACCTACTATTGCGATTTCTGCGGAGCGCCGTTCCGAAGTCATCATCTGAAGCAGTACCAACGACACGTTCAAAGTCACCTCCCCGATAAGCAGCTCAGCTGCGTCATCTCAGACTGCGACCGTCGCTTCGACTCATTAGAGGAGCTCCATTCGCATGTCAAGACGAAATTGAGCACATGCCGTTACTGTGGAGCCGTTCTGTTTCTCAATTACAAAAAACACATTCTCACCTGTCGTCCTCTGCACGAAATCAAGAAGCAGCGTTTGCTCAAAGAGGAGTTCGCAAAAATCAAATACGAGCCCCTACGGCAAGAAGATCTCCACTGGTCCCACAGGAAGCTTTGCCGCTCGAACCCTAGTCCAGAGCGAGGTTCCGAGATTCCGGAGTCCGAGAGCCAGGAATGTTTTCTCCGCAATTTGAACCTTATCAAAGGTGATTCGGAAACGATCACGGAAAAGACCCGAAAACACGAAATGCTGCGGAGCCAAATTCACGTCGCGAACGGCAAAGGACGGCGAGCCTGCACGGAAAAGACGTCGTGCGTCAAATGTGGCCGCATCTTCAGGAACGGACTCAATCTGCGCGAACACATGCGAGGGTACCACAATGCCCGTGACTTTTGACACAGCTCCCGAGTACTCTTGTGCTCAGCAACGACTCCCGTTTCGAGATCCCTGTTTCCACTCGCCGAGATACACCTTGTTTAGCTTATTGACTGATGAGCCTACGTTAAGCACGGCGAGCGAACCGCTGCATTCCGAGCTTTCAGGTCGCTCACTCCCAGGGTACTCATCTGCAGCGTTGGATACGATATACATAAAGTGCTTATTGTTGAATATCGACAGATTTTCCCCTCTTTGGCTTGTTGTCAAGTGGTCACTCATTGTGAGTGGTGTCGCCTCGCCAATCCACGGACCTGGCGCGCTGAATATTCGATAAAACGATTTTGCCGTCGACATCGAGAACTCTTCTATCATTCGCGTTGCGTAGATCGATTTGACGTGGAAACGTCTTTAATTTCACTCAGGGGGTAGAATCAATCTACTTCGTCTTCCATGCAACGAAATTTGAGGCACTTAGCGACCCAATAACTTGTGCTGGAAAGAACTGATCCACTAGTTGAATGCACCGATGGGAAGGGAATTTACGGAGGAATCTACCATTCGATTTCCGTGGTTATCCCTAGCGGTTTTGGAGGTTTCCGAGAGCGATTCTGTGTGCACCAGGAATACTTCCGGATAGTGTATAAATGAAGGATTTTCCCTGAATATATTGAATTTGTGCGGAACATTTGAGAAGGGTAGCGAAGATTCAGATGTGCTCGACCGGCGGAATACATCTTGGGCTGGACGAGTCGATCAGGGGGACAATTTCCTGAGATTAATTGAGATCAAAGTCGCTATGCGCGGTGTTTGAGATTATTTCGATCCCGAATTCCTTCCAAGTCGCACGGTTCCACAGGCAATGGAACTCTCTCAAGAAACAATCAGAACCAGCTAGTCCCTACCGAAGGTACGAACAACGTGAGCTCAGCCTCCGCATAAAAGCGGTTCACAAACATTGTGCGATCGCGAACGAAGATGCGATCGGCGAGGAGCCTTTCATTAGGCATTTGAGTCGAGAACCTGCTTGGATTTACTTCAGCTGGCCATACTATTAGAGCTGTTCTTTCCGAAATCTGTGAGACCTCTGTCATACTTCGCGTTCTGTCGAGACCTTCAGCATAAAACTTCACTGAAGCCCCCCGTAGGTCGGGGAGGGGAGCAGATCGCAGAAACACTGATTCGCACGAAGAAAACACAAAAACATTAGGCATGCTTCCAGCGATTACCTGGTGGATACATACATATACCTTGTTCGACCGAACTCCGAGCGGCATCACATACCGCAAAGTCAACGGGAACGGTTTCGTCGATCTCATAAGCTACTTCAGCATACACCGGCTAATCCAGCAGATGTGATTATATATACAATCTTACCAATCCCACCTGTAATAACGACACAAGTCGTACAATCGGCCAAGTATTAGCTGACCGGCTTCAAAGCCAACGCAAGCAATAAACCATTGATGCGCTACAATCTACAAATAATTTCAGATGTCTCTTTCATCTCCGAAACCTCTAGGTAAAAATCCGCCACGGGCAGCGACCTAGGTACTCTCTCGCCACGCGTCATTCAAAAAGTACTGCTAACCACCGACCCAACGGCCATCCACCGTTCAATTTCTTTAAGGACCGCCTGCTCGCCTGTGGGATCACAGTCGCTATCTGTCCTCGGTGAACGCTTCCACCTTCTCGTGGAATCGCAGTCAAGTCTTCCCACTTCGTGAGTCGACTAGACTGACCAAGTGAACGCTGCAAATCTTTGTTAGTCGTCCGCAACCGCAACCAATTTTCGTGAGCTCCCTCGGACTCGTAAGCGACTCTCTAAAAACTGGATTTTTCTCTTGCCAGCCTCACCTCCAAATATGTCGTTTGTGAACGTCTTCTCAAACCAGAACGGACTGAGTTGCCGGATCCCGACCGACGACCAGGGAAACATCGAGCTGGTAAACATCTCATTATATTTCCCGCGAATCAGGGGGATGTTTTACGACGAAGACGGTGACAAGACTGCGGTTGCTTTCGATGGGACTCATTATAAGCAGCCAAGAAACGGATGGGGCACCCGCCCGTATGAGGCCGTGCTCGAAGTCGAGATCGCACAGAGTGAGTTTCTACATGGAGAATTTTTTTCAAAAACAGCGCATCTAGCGGGATCCGTATCGATGTTGTCCGCATCTCGTAGGGACTTCCTCCCTGTGGAACTCCACATGTTGCCTCTGAGGCTTCTGAGGAAGTCGAACCTCGCTTGAACGGTTGTCTTCGCCCGCCGAGCCAGTTCTCGACCAATTTGAATGCCAACTCGGATATGCCCATGCGTTGAATTACTGCCCTGTAGTCTCGCGAGCGGGCTGCCTTATGGAAGGAGTCCTCGATCCAACCAAAGCCGCGATCATCGCTTCCGGATGAAGTCCCCTGCTGGTCAGCTGTCTCTGCGGGCCATGACAGAGGCTCGCTCGTTCTTCTGCTTGTCTGCCTGCCTGCTGACTTAAGCGACAGCGTTTCGGACTCGGAAGTTTCACTGCATCCAGTATCTACGCATACTCTCCCAGTCACAACATACGCGTATTGGACGGCGCCGTTGCCGCTTTTTTCGGAGTTCTACATATAGCGGAGTTTCGGAACTCCATATCCACAATCTATTTGAACTCAAAAGCATCAAGAAGTCAAGCTCAACTGATACTTTGTTCTTATTGTAGGTGCTGTGAAGATTCCGAGTGAGCGAGGGAACCAAGTGAGTATCCAATTTTTCTTCTCGAATCAAGTCTCATATCGCCTGCTTCAACGTCTTTCAAGCTTCCAGTAAATGTTGTACAGTGAAACCTGACTTAGGGTCCACTTGCGTAATGGGTTCACCTGAGCTATCGGTCCACTTTCGTCAGGCACCGATTCATTTTGCCATGAAACACGATTAATTTGAACGCGTAAACGGTCCACCTGAGGAACGTGTCCACTGTCCACCTTTTTCGGGAACCGCCGCTGCCCACAACCTGCATAAACGGTCCGATCTCGTTCGACAAGGTTGTGGCGAGGCTCACGGTGACACGAAACCCCGAGTTCGCGATGAAATATTGATGGAGCTCAACTCAGTCAAGACTCAGATCGGCCCGAAGGCTTCACTTCTCTTGGATGGACGTATTGCGACATTATTATTAACACTATTCCACGCAAGCGGGAGTCAACGATCCTTGCTTCGAGGAAGACATCCAACGTGTTGACGACGATTGCCTTTCCGAGCAGCAAGTCGGGGTCGATGCAGATTCTGATCTTGAAGAAACTCTTGACTTTCACCCGGCAGAAGAACCATCGAGTGGAGAAGCTCTGCGAGCCCACGAAACACTGAAATTTTCCGCTCTCTGCGAGTGTTTTCTCTCTAGGTGCGCACGAAGCCCTTCTCAAAAGCGAGAGAGAGAAACATAATTGTGTCGTAGTAGCTAGGCAAGAATCGATACGACAGACTAGTTCAGATTTTTTCGTCATGAGGGGTGATGACGCCCGTACACAATGAAGGAAAAGATTTGAATATCTTTCGGAACCAGCACTGTCCTCCCACAGCTCTGGAAGAGGGAAAAACATCGTCTCGAAATGCAAATTTTTTGCCTCGGAATTCGTCGGTCGTTCAATGGGTCCACCTGAGTTATCGGTCCCTTTTCTATCTATTCTAAAAAAATCCAAGGTTGATCTAATTCTTTCTTCGTCATATCAGAGACCGGGCATGCCTCTGAGTGACATCGCGCTGATGGCCATTCTCGCGGGCGTCGCCAGCTACGGCGCTTATCGAGTAGTTCGTGAGTATCAAAAGAACTGTTGATGGACAGATGAGACTCTTGAAAATTTTGAACACCTGAGATCCTGGAGGAAAGTCTGGATCTAAATTCTCCGTTCTGATTTTTTTCAGTCATCCTTAAGGAGAACTTCGGCTCGATAGCCCTCCAGCATCCGCCGAACTAGGGTAAGTATCCTTAAGGCGAGCTGCTGGGAAACGCCAGGAGACATTTGGTTCTTGGGACGTTAGACGATAAATACCGCTCGATGCGTGACTGACGGTGCCACCCTCTAACGTTGGGTCCCGGCGTCGGATTTCCAAGCCGATGAATCCTATTGAAAACCGACTCTACCCCTGGAATGAAGTCATGACGGATTTTCATGGCCAGTTCCCCATCATTCCTTGGATGATGATGATTGTTTCGATCGGTTCTACACTAAGTTTCTTCTCCTTCTGCAGATCCAGTGGAGCGCTTGCGGCCTCACCCTGTGTGCGAACTCCATCGTGTTTGGGACCATTATAGGATTCTAGTCGCACCTCGAAGCTCTGGACAAATTGAAGGCGAACATCTTGAAACGGGTACTTGGAGTACACAGAAGCACAAGGAACCGGCTGGTTTTCAAAATGACGGGCAGTTCCCTACTCACAGAGGATCTGGAGTTGAAGTTCGGGCTCCCACACACCGATACGTATGAGAGACACCGCTTAGGCTGGAGCGATAAGCTCGCCGGTATATCGCAGAATTTTCTGGCCACCCCCGCCATGTCGTCAGATAAATGGGAGGGTCCAATGTACAAACACCGACATCGCGTTACAAGAAGCTCTGTGCATGGGTATCATCATCTTCTATGCGCTGTAGAGCGGTATCACGAAATCAATGTAAACTGCCGCTGTATACTATGCGGACTGGAATGTGTAGAATATCATCTGTTCTCATGCTCGGCAAAGGAGAGTTTCGATTGGTCAAAAACTTGATCTCAAAATGTGATGAAATGTGATAAAGTGTATACGCGAACAGATGTGTATATATGTATATTTAAACCTCATGGAGGAACCACACCAAAACTTGGTAATAAACGCATTATTGAATTATAGGATTCTTCGTGTCCTTCAGCGGAATAAATTCTGACTATTCCACGTGGTGATCGATCGCTTGTAGCTGCCATGTATACTAAGTAGCCCCGATGCGATGAGCATATCGAATGTGTATAGTGACAAGAATAAGTAGATGTTTTCCACGGTCCACGATTGCCCTGACTGAGACGAGGAGTCCATTCCTATGCAGTACGAGACGCTCAAGGCGACCAACGAGGTCGACATCTTCATCTCGAGTGATTGAACTCGAGTTCGTCCTCCCTCCGCGGACCATGGCATTGGGCCCGATCCAAGCATGACTCAAGCCTAGTCCTGTCCAACCTAAACTGGATGGTCGAGGACCTTCTCAAACTTAAGCGGGCAGCATACTAGAGGGGGATTTCCTTGTCCCTATAGCATGAAAGGTCAGCGTCGGTGTCTCGAAGATTGTCACCGTACCTTCCATGTACGATTTCAAGTGGTGTAATGGTGATGTTGAGAGCTACACCGTCGGATTTTGCAGGAATCTCCGAGATTGCGAGAGATTCAGGATAGCTCAACGTCGAAGAACTGCGTCCAAGCTGACGCTATACATCAGCAAAGAAACTAGACGAATACCTACAGGGATGCCGGCAAAGTCACGAATTCACAAATCCAGGCCCTCGCGGAGTTTTGGGTGAGAGGCGAAGAACGATTATTGCCTCACGCGACAAGCATCCAAGTGGTGCGGACCTGCGGAACAACTTGAAAAAACCTCGTCAGTTATTTAGAAGGACTCAACTATCTATTCTCTATTCCATATCGCGGATGCAACCAAGTTCTGCCATTGGGGATGCCGATTAGCGTGACTGCTCCGCAGACTTGAACATCCAGAATCCTTCCATGCTCAGAGCTGGGCATCAAGGAGAGTAGGAGAGTAATATGCGCGGCATCTGGCCGTCGAAGTCAGCAGAAAATTTGTTGAAGAACTCTATCCACAGCTGACTCTTCGCGTAGAAGTCTTTCAGAAGGTGATTCTAGCATTCTCGCATAGCGATCATCGTTGAGCCTTTTCCCTGCAGTAGGGGCGCGAGTGTCGGGCCCGACTAAAGACCCGCTCGACGGGTACACCCTTCGGTACCATCGTTTGGCAGAATGCGACCGCATTCGGTACAGGGAATTGATAACCAAATTGTTCGAAATATTCCATCATGTGCCCCGCTCTTCTATGGAGGTCCGATTCGCTCGTGTTCGTTTTTGCGTCCGGCCTGTTTGGAGCACGTCGCCGCATCTCGCGATGCGTGTTCCGCAAACATCAGGGCGAACACGCCGCAGTCCGAACCGTTCTCTTGTCTTGGGAGATCCTGCATGCTCCAACAATGCCAATCATTCGAGAAGACTTGGGTTCTTTCATTCTCCGATGCCTCTCGAGTCAGAAAAGCGACGATCCTCCTCAAGCAATCATCGTTACGACGCCCGAGGGAGTCCATGTAGCGAATCCCTTTGCAGCGCATATCGATCGTGACCAGACTCCTGTGGTTGCTCTCGTTGACTGGAACGAGAAGACTATCGTAATGGAAAATATCGTCTTTCTGCGTCCATTGATGCGCAGCTATCGGATTCGAGCGGAGAAATGTATGGAAGTAGACGTCGAGGGCTAGAGCTCTCGGTAAACGCTGGTCGCCTCGGTTGCGCTTGACAATTAGGGCCATGTAGGCGTTCACGATTACATCATTGAGCCATTGGAGTCCGACAAGAGTCTTCAGATCGTTCACGCAAACTCTTTGATTCGAGATATTAGAGACGACGTGGTCTTGGGACTTCTCCAATGCTTTACCGATAAGCAGACGCAATCCGTCAGGGAGTGGCGGAACTTCAAAGCTCGATCGCTCGCCCCGCTTGACGTCGGGGTTCACCGAAACGTCTTGCCACCTGATGTAGGTGTGGTCTCCGTGAAGGTGAGAGGACTGAGCGGCTTCGTCAGTCAGCTCTCTTACTTCACTCTGCGTTGTTGTCAACTTGGAAGAGCGAAATACAAAAAAAATCAAGGAGATTGAAAGCGCGTGATCGGAGGATGGACAAAATAGACAAATCAATTTACGGAATTAGCGAAAAAGGGTAAATCTGCCTGGCGATTGAAACGGGCCGCAGCTCGCTCACCCATGAGTCTATCGTCTATTAACTATCCGATCATCCGTCAATCATCGTAGTTCGTAGGGTGCGGTGGCTTATCCCGGCGCGATAGAAGCGTCGTTCTCCCCCTCCCCATAATAATTGTCCCGTCCCCCTATTCCTCGCAAGCTATGGGAGCTTACGTAGGTAGAAGCGCCCGGAATTTTCCCTTTAAGAACGATGAATGCGATATTGAGTTCTGTGCTCAGAGGTAGGGAAGTAACGACGTGGCATCAACTGTCTGGACTACTGAATAACTTCTATAACGAAGTTATCAGCCTTTTTATTGGAACCGGAATCGATAGAGGGCGAGGAGGACCTAACATTCCTCCCTTTTTCCCGAGGGAGTGAGTCCTGCAAGTCGCCTGTAATCGACCGGGGGAAGTAGACGGGGAGACCTTCTTAAAACCGAGTCTGGGCTAGAGTCCGCGAAGATAGGACCCAGAAGTTCCTCATTGTCCACGCTCAGAGGTTCCGGTGCGCCCTGAGCCCTTTTCCAGACCTGGTTCCTGTGACGTACGTGCTCTTTCCCGTCCACCGAAACCAAAACCAGGGCGTCGCCCCTGAAACCGCTGATTTCACCTCGGACCCGGGAGCCATTGGCCAGCTCTATCGTGATTTCCTCTCCCAAAGATAGAGAACGTGGAAGCGCGCCATGCTGGGTGTCGAAATACTCCTTCATACGTCGTTGGTAAGAGGTGGTAGAGAATCCGAGACCGGCTCCTTGCGGAAGGAATCGAGAGGCGTTCGGAGCTTGCGTCCGAAAAACAGTTCGGCCGGTGTTAAGTCACCGATAGCGGAACACGGAGTATAATTGTAAGCGGCCACCGCTTCATCCAGGGACTTCGGATCAGAAGAAATCGCGTTCTTTAACGTTGCGACCATCCTCTCCGCCTGGCCGTTGCTTTGCGGATGCCGAGGAGCGATACGCAGGTGGGTGATTCCGAATTCCTCGCAGAATCTTGCGAACTCCACTGAACGAATTGCGGCCCGGTTGTCCGAACAATCGTTTGTGTGGGCCGAAATGTCGGAACACGACTCTCATGTAGGCAATCAGAGTCTGACTAGTGGCTTGAGTCATCCACGCCGCATCGAGATATTTGGAGAAGCTGTCAACGATGACCAGGAAAATTTTTCCTCTCTGAGGTTCGGCGTAATCCAAATGAATTCGAGTCCACGGACTTTTTGGATCGGGCCAGGGCTGCAGCGGTATCTTGCGCGGATTTGCGGCGTGTTGGATGCAGTGCCTGCAACTCTTCACTAACCCTTCGATATCTTTGCCCATTCCTGGCCAGTAGCAGTAAGCCCGTGCGAGCGCTTTCATGCGCCGGACACCTGGATGCGCGACGTGTAGTTTGTGAAGCACAGCTTTACGTAGGGGTTGCGGCACGATGAGGCGATCATTAAGTAGAAGGGATCCATCGGTCTCGCATAAGCTTTCGGCCTGTTGAGCGAAAGGCCGGAGATCCGATTAAGTGGTATTTTAGGTACATAGATGATCATCGGCACCGTAGCGAGCTTCTGTTTCAGCTGACGACTCCATGCAACCATTCCGATATCCCGCAGTATTCTCAAGAGTCTCCTGTGTTCTGACTGATCGCGGATCAAGAACTGTGGCCTCTCTCCGAGCTCGCACCGCGGTCGGGTCGTACCGCCAAGGTCCGCCATCTTGCTGGAGCTGAGCCACCATCCACCATCCGCTGCGGATGTTTAAACTTTAAATGGCCGTTGGCGGGTTCGCTGACTCGGTGTTCGAAATCGTTTTCCGAGGGGTCCATGATTGTTCGCATGACCCTTTTCGATTAGGTCGAGAGTGCGTTTTTCATTTCGATGCCAATTGAGAGAGGAGTTCTGAAGTGCTTGTGTTTCGGAGTTCTCCTCAAGAGAAATCGAGTTGCTTGTTATTCTGACTGACAGATCCTTGTGCGCGTAGCTTACCGGTTCGGGGCAAATGAATGTCTGAGAGTAGATCGTGATTTTATGCTGACGTGAAGTCTTCGTCGCGATGACTCTGACCATCACGCCGTGTCCAATAAAGGGGACTTGCGTCCTGGAGCGCCTACTCGCGAATGGGTCGGTTGCCTCGCGTCAACCTCTCCCAGAGGCTACGGCTTCGATATGCAGGAATTCGCAGAGAGACATCATGGTGAGCCCCCTTATACGTTGCACCCTAATCCATGGTAGCTAGCTTAAATCCCATTCTCAAGCGGAGCCCATGCTTAGGTCCGAATCGAGGCCCAGAAGTTGCCGAAAGCCCTCGTTCTTTGTGGGACCAGTGATAATCTCACCGTTCATAAGAAGTTCGTCAGTGAAGGGAAGATGACTCTCTCTTTCAAACAAGAATCTCTGCGATTCCTGTTCGCGAACTGCTCGGCAGCAAGGTTGGTTTATTTGCAGAGCCGGCACAGCTATCGAATATTGTTTCAGTTCCCTCAGGGAGGTTGGGCTTGTGATCAACGATCTCTTAACTCTCTCGAACTTTCCTCAACAGTCTGACAACATTCGTCAAGATGTTGTCGATCAAGAGCTCGGTCGTAACCCCGGATCGACCGAAGGCATCGCTTCGGGA